AACCTCGTGTTTCTTGTATGTAAGTGTTTCGGTGCTCTTTGGGTGCCTGGTGTAGTTCTAATAACATGTACATTTTACAGTTTAAACCAGCATATAACACACTGGACTTCTGTTATATTTACTGGTTTATACTGTAAAATTTACATGTTATTCGGTAAAAGCAATTACTGTTTTGTTGTATATTTTACGGAATTATTCTGGTAACCCCAGCTGCCAGTTTTTTTCCGTAAAAACTACGGGATTTTTTTTACATTGTATTTTTTTTTTTTTTTTTGATGAATATTTTTTTTATCTCTTTTGTTGTCAACATGTATTTTGCTTTATGTTTCATAATGCTGCAAGGGCTTTTACTTTGAAAGTTGTGTGTATTATTTTTTGATGGTTTAACGTGAATACGGCACGCAGCGCGCTTTTGCTCATGGGAAGGAGAAAGGAGACAAATGCAAGCTGGCAACTGCGGCTTAAGAGAATGGATTTTAGTGCCTGGTTTTAAAGAGTGAACAAGGTAGAGTGTTTATTTCGCTGTAAAATTAAAGTTATGCAGCAGCGGAATCTGAAGAGAGCTCCATTATGTTTGTTTATGTGTGTACATACATGGAAGTTGTGGGAATGTATTTTAATTTATTCTTTCCTTTCATTTAGCTCTTACAGTGAATTCATGAGAAATAAAGTTCCCCATTTGTTCATGAATCATCAGTCCCTGGGCTTTGCCGATAACTCAACTGGGTAGCTACACTCCATACTAAAGTTTAGTATAGATCGATTTTTTGACATTAGTCATGATACTACCAGCTTGTGGCGGCCTATTACCTAATGGTTAGGGAAGCGCACTTGTAATCGAAAGGTGCCACTGAGGTACCCTGAGCAAGGTACCGCCCCCAAGCACTGCTCCTCCGGCGCTGAATTAGCTGCCCCTGCTATGTCACGATGTCACATATGGGTTAAATGCAGAGAACACATTTCGTTGTTATGCACTGTGTGCGTGTGGTGTGTCAATAACAACTAATCACTTCACTTATATGCCATGCACTATGAGGTATCACAGAAGATATTTAAAAAGTATGACACAAAAGGAATTGTATTACTGATTAATGAATAGTTTGTTTCCATAAACAGTAAGCTTAACCGATACAGTACTGACCAAATTAGATAGTTATAACAACACCCATAAACAATGACAACTGTATTACATGAAATGGTTGCCAATTGTTAAATGGTTACCAATTAAACCGAACAAATGTAACATGTTATCAAAAATTAAGCTTATCAGATACTATAGATAATTATTTTAAATGGGACCAGATGCACATAGAGGTACCCTAAGGCAGATTCAGCTATACAGTCATACAGTACCTCGCAGGTTCCTCAATCTCATTACACTCGCTGGCCTCTCCTGGCACATAACAGCTCGTTGTCCTAAGAGGAAGTATTGGCTACGTGTCAGGAGCAGTCTGAATGTACAGTAAACAGTTTCATTTCAGTAACTAGGTGTATATACCTT